TCCTAAACAATAGGGATTATTGCCTTGCATGTCACGCGATAAAAGTCAAAAACACAAACCGGGGAAAGGGACGCGCTCCTAATCTTGAGTAATTAACTACTGACAATTTTCTTCTTTCTATTCCCAGCAAAAGTTTTCAAAATGCAGTGTCGTATAGCCCTATGAAATGATCAGGAATCTTATATTTATACACATAATTTGCTCAGTGTAATAAATTTTCTAAAATCACTGTTAACTGCATCTATAACTATACAGGCTTACCTCATTGAAAAGCAGCTCTCGCCTTTGTTGTTTTCGTAAATCCATCTTTTTCACAGCAACCTGTCTTCCACTCCCTCCTTCGGTTGCTATACATACAATTCCAGTAGAACCCTCACCTATTTTTACAAAATTTTCAAGATTGTCTCTGGGATCACCAGGACTAACTACCATTTGTAATGCTGCTCGGAATTGTTCATGTGATACTCTATGTTCCCCAGCTTGTGGAGAGGGCTGGGTTGGGGTCATCTTTAGGGCATTCATTTTATTATTAGGTTGCTGCAGTGGCATATTTGTTTTATGTGCATCAGCATTGGTATCACCTTGGCCAACTTGGGGTGGTCTGTTTTCTTGTGCATGCTGCCCAGGTGGCAGATCTTTTCCATGTTCCTAGATAAAGCAAAATATAATACAAGTATTAGACAAATATAAAATCCAGGACAGGAAATATTATTACAATACTGACATAGCATTGCGCACATACAGATTAAAATAAATACACTGTATTTGCTCTATTAGAAGTACATCTCCAATAGAAGTACACATACATATTAATAAAAAAAAAATTAAATATGACTTAGTTTGGCCATGGACACATCTGTCATTTCCACTAATAGAAAAAATAAGTTACAAGTAAACAGGGTGTTCTGAATACTGTCAAATTTGAAAAAAGCACCAATCATTAAACAGGGACTATACAAAGGAATTGTATTTTCTATTGTATTTTGAATGCAGTGAGAAAATCTAGCTGTAACTGTTTCCATGTTATTCACCAGATAGTCACATGTTTGAATAAAATTATTTATCAAAATTCGATGGTGCAATCGAGTTTTCTTTAAATATCGAAATGTTTTTACGCATGTTGTATTACTTGCTACGCATGGGACACAATATATCACTGTGCCACTTTAATTTTGAAGAAATGATAGTAAAATGGTATTTTATACAGGCAGGGTTCCTGTTTCAATCCCTTTACTCATATCCTTTATGGCCAGGTATTACATGTACGATTCAATTTAAAAAGATCAATGCCAATAAATACATGCAAGTTATTACTTTCAACTTTGACAATGGTGAAGATCATGTCGGCACTAGAATGGTCACTGAATTTCAAGATAAAAGCCTGCTAATGATGTGTTCAGGAAGTGTAATCATACCTTCTGTTTGTAATATGGATCAATTTGTGGTTTGACTGGCTGTACTTGGTGCTCATGAGGAGAATGTTGCTGTTGCTGAGGTGGTGGAGGTGGATGTTTTTCTTGCAGTGCATTATCACTAGCCCTGAAAGAGGAGACGGGGCTGACACTGTTTGTGGATGCACCGGGCGGTGAATGTTGCTGGTATTTCATTTGTCCGGGATGCTGATCACTAGCACCATGTGGATTGGATCTATTATGTGGCAGTGTTGAAGCATTTTGAGGTTGCATTCGCATCATCCTTGGATCAGATTCATGTCTTGCCCTTGCATCTGGCTCATGTTTTACTCTAGGATCAGGTTCTTGCCTTGTCCTTGGATCTTGTTCATGCCTCGTCCTTGGGTCTTGCTCATGCCTCGCCCTTGGGTCTTGCTCATGCCTCGCCCTTGGGTCTTGCTCATGCCTCGCCCTTGGGTCTTGCTCATGCCTCGCCCTTGGGTCTTGTTCATGCCTCGCCCTTGGGTCTTGTTCATGCCTCGCCCTTGGGTCTTGTTCATGCTTCATCCTCGGATCAGGTTCATGCCTTACTCTTGAATCAGACTCATGTCTTGCCCTTGGATTTAGTTCATGCCTCATTCTAAGGTCTTGCTCTTGCCTTGCCTGTGGAGTTAGTTCTTGTCTATCCCGTTGTTTATCATGGTCTAATCTTGCCTTAAGTTCATATTCCTGTGCTAGTTGTCGCTGCCTTTGTTCTTGTTCCTGTCTGGCTCTCTGATCATCTCTAGGTCTGGAACAAAATATATGAATGCTAGTTACAACTGCTTACAAATAATACAACTAAACTAACTAATGAATAGCCCATACAGATGAAAATGACTTTGCAACGTCACATTCATTCCTGTTGGTCAGTGTATTCTGCTAGCCACTTGTAATGTAATTCATACACGCCAATACTAGAACCTGATATTACTTGTTCACAAAGCATGAATCACAGAAGACCTTGTGGCTATAGTATAACACATTATCTTCTGACCACAAAAATTGTCCAAAACTGTACTGCATTTAAGAGTCCATCAGCAATGCATGTCTCTCTGCAACTGCTTTGGATGATCAGCAGAATTATCAAGATGATGACATTTATCATAGCAAAATGTTTACAGAACCATATTATGTCAATCATATACACTATGGTCTTGCAATAATATGATGCCCAAATAATAAGTAGGTATGCATGAAAGCAGTGCAGTGATCGAAGCAGTATTCTTGTGACAACCTTATTTCTATACTCTATTTTCCCTGCTGGTAGTAATAATTCAATGTGAGATAACAGCTCACAATGGCAATGAAAAAATGCTGTCTGAACGTTTGCGTTCAGCTTCTATGTTTGAAGACTAAGGAAAGTGTCAAATGTGATGTAAACATGGTGCACAAATTCCAAACAAGGAAGACATTCAAACATCTCCGTAAAACTTTTGAACACATTCATACGGATTGGTAAATTCTATTGTTTTAGGTGTCAAATGTATAATAATTACCTATATTGTTCATTAGGTGGATGTTGTCTATGATCTAATTGTCTAAATTCTTGCTCTCGATTTTGTGGAAGTGGCTGCTGCTGCTGCCTTTGTGGAGGTGGTGGCTGTCTGTAATCATGATCTCTTGGTGATGGATGATGTCCATCTGGTTCCCTTGGCAACGTACCATATGGTCTGTCTCTATTCTGCTGTTGGGGGCGGTTTCTCTGCGGTGGCAGGGTGCGATGATCTGGTTCCCCGTAAGCTGGCTGCTGTCTTGGATCACCCCTCTGTTTGGGTGAATGTCTGTAATCTTGAGGGGGTTGCTGTCTGTGTGCCTGATCTCGTTGCTGGGGTGGTGGAGGTCCCCGGTAATCACCGTCTCGTTGTGGAGGATGATGGGGATGCATGTAATTTTGGTGTTCATGTGGCGAATCTCTGTGCTGCCTTTCTTTGTAGAAATCCCTATCATCTGGAGGAACTTCTCTATATTCTCTACCAGAAGGATCTCTCTGATGCAATTCTTGTGGCATCCGTTCACGTCTCAGAGATCCATCCCTTGGTGGTTCCCTCTGCCACTGATCACCATACTGTGGATGTGGTGTTGTTGGTGAGTGTGGAGAGTGCTGCTGTGCATAGTGTGGTCTCTGCCAATCATTTTCCCTTACTACATCTGGTACCTACACATCAGAGAAATTTACACTCACAATATTAATATGAGTACAATACATTTCCACAGACCACAATCAATATAGAATGCATGGGTTTAGTACGTCTGTCTGTCCAATATTTGGATGCAAAAATGAAAGTGTAATTACATTTCACTCCATGGCTCTCATCTTATAATCTACATGTACATATACATTTGTGATGAATCTTGTGAAGCTATCATTCAATTTTCAAAACAATGATACAAGCGAAAGAATTAGAATTGGAAACTACATACCCTATCACCCATGTTCATTCTCCTCATTCTTGGTGGACTGCTCTGGCGAAGTGAATTTGACCGTGCAACAGAAATACTACGAGGTGCTTCAAATCCATTCATATGATGTCCTCTAGGACTCCGTAATTCAGCAGTACTAGGTCCCCTAACAATAACCTACAATAGAATGCATTGTAATATCAGTTGAGAAAAAAAATTGTTGAATCATTTTTGTCTTGTGACGAAAGGTTCTCTAGATTACATGATTAGGGGATAGAAAATTAAACTTTAGATGTAAACAGATTTTACAAGTGAAAATATAAATGATGACAGTAGATTGAAATCCAGTTCTCACAAGAGACTAAATAAATTGCTGGCTGAATTGTTTAGCATGCACTTTAATAAGACAATTATCTCAGTGGTCTGACGGTGAGGTTATACCTCATGATTCTAATCTTGTAGATTAACAAAAGCTAAATTATTCTTCAACATCTAAGGTTATCTGACCTATACATGTAGGTCTCTGGTTATCTAAAGGTTACAGATTGAAGATTTTGAAGGCGTGGTCTTATAAAGCTACATGCATGATGTCATGTTTAAAGTGCACACTACATAGTGATCTACAAATAAATCATCAGTGTTCTCCTATAATAAAATTGCAGTAGCATATTGACATATTGACTAGAATATGTTAATCATCTCTCTCAATATCAGTGTTCATTGTTATGGTAATTATGTAGCAGTGGACCCCATATTCTAACTCCCTATGTTTATCAACACTCGTGCTGCAGTTCATACACAGACTGAATTGGTAACCTTTAGATGGTTTTATGTGGCAGATAAAAACAATACATCTGTAGTGCGTTTGCATTTGATTATTTTTTAGAAACTCTAAAAACATAGATGTGACTAAACTATGATGTGGTTATTTGCTGACAAAGCATGGTAAAACAGACAAGAATGTATTTTAATGCACAGTGAAAACTATTTTTTTAGAAACTCTAAAAACATAGATGTGACTAAACTATGATGTGGTTATTTGCTGACAAAGCATGGTAAAACAGACAAGAATGTATTTTAATGCACAGTGAAAACTATTTTTTTAGAAACTCTAAAAACATAGATGTGACTAAACTATGATGTGGTTATTTGCTGACAAAGCATGGTAAAACAGACAAGAATGTATTTTAATGCACAGTGAAAACTATTTTTTTAGAAACTCTAGAAACATAGATGTGACTAAACTATGATGTGGTTATTTGCTGACAAAGCATGGTAAAACAGACAAGAATGTATTTTAATGCACAGTGAAAACTATTTTTTTAGAAACTCTAAAAACATAGATGTGACTAAACTATGATGTGGTTATTTGCTGACAAAGCATGGTAAAACAGACAAGAATGTATTTTAATGCACAGTGAAAACTATTTTTTTAGAAACTCTAGAAACATAGATGTGACTAAACTATGATGTGGTTATTTGCTGACAAAGCATGGTAAAACAGACAAGAATGTATTTTAATGCACAGTGAAAACTATTTTTTTAGAAACTCTAGAAACATAGATGTGACTAAACTATGATGTGGTTATTTGCTGACAAAGCATGGTAAAACAGACAAGAATGTATTTTAATGCACAGTGAAAACTATTTTGGGGACCTGCATTCATACACTTTCTTAAAACAAATCTTTAATACAAATGGGGGCTCTAAAACAACATAATTTCATGATCTTGTTCATACAGAATGTTCTCTCAAATAAACTTATTGGTTATCTAACATTACCCTTATCCACACCACTAAATGATGATTCATGGCATTATTTTGGTATTCTTAACTGACATGACACTTCAGATACAATACTAATTCATTGAACAAGGTTGCTATTCCATAAGAAATCTTTACCGTACTTAACAAAGAAATGAATGCGATTTCCATGAAGCACACACTGGGATACATGGAGTTTTACATTTTACTTACTGCTTGAATGATGACATTACATGGATAAATGCAATGTTCTTTGGGTAACCATTAACGTCAACAAAATCAGTTAGCAATATATTAATTACCTTGAGATCAGATACTTCAGTAGGTGTAATAGTTGACGGATCAATTATGGGTGCAGGCCGATTTTTTACTGCATCTCTATCAACAATGCTAGCCCACTGCGAGGGAAGACCAACATATGAGCCAGCTCTGGGGTCAAAACCTGTATGTACCCTATGTTCAAAGTTTGTGGGCTCAGAAATGATTGGCTTCTTTTTCTTCTTACCGGAAAACATGATGGTAGTGTCGAGAGACTACTGAAAAAAATAAAAATTAATTTTACATCTTAATACATTGAACAGTGCATGTGTTCTGTGGATGATTGAGTAATAATAATACATGTACATGTACAAGGCAAATGATATGCTACTTTTTTAGTGAAAGGAAACACCTGCACCGCCATGTTAGTTTTATTCGAACCAGAGTCTGCTGTGAAACATCCACAATGCACTATTCCTGATGATTCACAGAGTACTGAAATAGAACCCAATTCTGGCCACATGCCATGAATGAGGTATTCAAAAGGGTTACAAGTTCACCTGATCTTTTCATTTATCACATGAATTTATAGTCAATGATACTAATTATTAATCAACACTTTATCTTTGTTAAATATCTATTTGTTCCAAACAATAATGTATTAAAATAGGTACATATTTTGAAATTCAGTCAGACTGTCACAAAATTGCCAACACAAAGCCTTAGTTGGAAGATGTGTTCCAATTATACACACGAGGTATACATTGCTTGATCTGCACTGGTGCATGTACATGCTGACCTTATTTCTATACAATGTATATTAAACATCAGGGAAAAGACAGAAAAGGATGGGTCAATTTTCTGTGGGACAATTATTCTATTCATATGCATCTAGACAGCAGAACAACACTATCGGAATGTGTCAGTGCATTCTGGTCATGCAAGACTACTTCAAACATACTACTATTCATAGTGTATAGGCACATTCAATTGTGTACAGGTTGATGTACCTATAAAGAAGACATATGGTACACACATACTAGTGTGACCTCATCTACAGTGAAGAGGGTCAAACAGCATTTCCATGGAATGTAGTTTTCTTTCAGCTTTGATGATCAATTTTAAATAACTATTACACCGTAGAAATGCAGTCAATGTTATACTTTGCAAATAAAGTACACATGAGTGAAGCCATTACTTAAATAACTAAATAGTACATTTTTAAGAATAAGGGCAACTGCTGATGAGTCTATATGAGCGGCAGTGTGGCATATGACACACAATTCAGCTATAACGTCCACATATACAAGCATGGCAACAATCTGTTGCACAATGGGGAACAGAATTAGGTATGAGAACTATTCAGTATTGAGTGTCATGTAATGAAGATAACAGCTAATTTAAATTCAAGACAAATCAGATGTCCACAATACTGAAATCATGCATATATCAAAAGTTTCTTTAAAAAATCACAGATAAACACATAAATTAATGGTAGGGTTACTCCCTTATTCAGAATTCTGTATGTAAAATACAAATTTTACTACCTAGTTTTCCCATTTCAACTTCTCACTCAATATTTTTTTTTATAATAGAAAAATGTTTATGAACAAAGATACCAACAATTTGTACATAAACATCAACCATATATGGCTGCTGGGCTAACATGTTCCATTGCAAAATAAGCTACCGGTAATTAAAATTTATAGCTTGATCCAAATCATAAAGTTGAGGATTCTTGGAAAACACTGTAGACATGTTGTAGGTAGAACATTTAATAATGTTTCTCCTGTAATATTCTGTTTTGAATTTATACATGAAAGTATAAATGAATACATAAAAAATCTTTGAGTAACAAAAATAAACAAGAGTCCTATATTACAAGAGTGGTTTGGTGCAATAGCATTAACACTACATTAATCATGTATAGCTACCACCTATTATTTCCAAGGTCACGATTACTCTCAATAGAGTAAGTAGCCTCCAGCAACGAATAGAATCTCAACACTGTGTGACATTCAACTAAACATAACAACCTACCTAGATTCACAGCAGAAACAAGTTAAATATAGACGCAGATAATTACAGTAAGTTAACATTTAATACATTCAGCATGTCCGGTATCAAACAGGGATGAATATTATAAGTGTGTTGGAATAGGACACTGTGGAAATGATAATTCACAACATGCTACACCGCCCTTGGAAGAACAACAAAATTCAAAAAAAATATTACCATATTTAAAATCAATGGCCATTATATATTGCACATAACATGTGTTCTCCTGAGGAAAATAAGCTATTGAAACTATCATAGCTAATTTGCACATGCAAAAAGCAATAATCATTGGTTTTGTTTATTTATTCTTAATAGTCCCTCCATTGTGGCCATCAATACTTGAAAGGCCCTGGAGAGAACACTGTGTACATAGCATCAAAATTATGCGGTATCTAATGTGTTAATATGTCAATATGATCACATACATTATCAGTAACAGTTGACCTTGCCCCAGCAGCATCATTTGCTTGTTTTGGGTACAAGTACTCGCCAAATAATATGAAACTTCTGGAATATTTTGATAAACAAATTATATTTAGCAATAATCAGGTGGCTTATGGTGGTAGGACATTATTACAATGAAAACACTGAAGTCAAATAACTGTTCAAAGTGATATATACACAGGATGAATTGACATTAGCAAGCAGGTTAAATAAACAAGGTGTGAGTAAGAGGACTGACTCTCATTCATAGCATTGTAATCAGTTATACTAACAGCATACACACTTCATGTTTACAATATGTAAATTATCAAAATATTTTTGTGATTTCTGCATAAGCTACAAACAGAATCAATACAAAATCCCTAGACATTATCACAATGGCATTTTGGCATAAGCCACGATGAAAACCATATTAAATTCCAGAGACATTAACATGGTATTTTAGCATATAAAGCCACAACAGAAACCATATAAAATCTTAGATACATAATCATAGTATTTCTGTACAGAACACAGCAGAAACCATACCAAATCCCCGAGAGAGTATCATGGTATTTTGGTTTATAGGCCTAAACAGAAACCATACAAATCCCTGTTGCATTATCATTGTAACCAGGGACATTATAATGGTAGAACTATTTTGACATAAGCCACAAAAAAAACCTATACCAATTCCCAGAGAGAGTACCAGTATCATGGTCTTCTGACATATAAGCAACAACAGAAACCACACCAATTTTCGAGACAGTATAATGTTATTTTGGCAAATAAATCACAACAGGAACAATACAAATTTCTGAGACAGTATTATGGTGTTTTGGCAAATAAGCCACAACAGAAACCATAGAAATTTCTGAGAAAGTATAATGGTATTTTGGCAAATAAGCCACAACAGAAACCATAGAAATTTCTGAGAAAGTATAATGGTATTTTGGCAAATAAGCCACAACAGAAACCATAGAAATTTCTGACAAAGTATAATGGTATTTTGGCAAATAGGCCACAACAGATATCATACAAATTTCTGAGAAAGTATAATGGTATTTTGGCAAATAGGCCACAACAGAAATCATACAAATTTCTGAGAAAGTATAATGGTATTTTGGCAATTAAGCCACAACAGAAACCATAGAAATTTCTGACAAAGTATAATGGTATTTTGGCAAATAGGCCACAACAGAAATCATACAAATTTCTGAGAAAGTATAATGGTATTTTGGCAATTAAGCCACAACAGAAACCATAGAAATTTCTGACAAAGTATAATGGTATTTTGGCAAATAGGCCACAACAGAAATCATACAAATTTCTGAGAAAGTATAATGGTATTTTGGCAAATAAGCCACAACAGAAACCATAGAAATTTCTGAGAAAGTATAATGGTATTTTGGCAAATAGGCCACAACAGAAACCATAGAAATTTCTGACAAAGTATAATGGTATTTTGGCAAATAAGCCACAACAGAAACCATAGAAATTTCTGACAAAGTATAATGGTATTTTGGCAAATAAGCCACAACAGAAACCATAGAAATTTCTGACAAAGTATAATGGTATTTTGGCAAATAACCCACAACAGAAACCATAGAAATTTCTGAGAAAGTATAATGGTATTTTGGCAAATAGGCCACAACAGAAACCATAGAAATTTCTGAGAAAGTATAATGGTATTTTGGCAAATAAGCCACAACAGAAACCATAGAAATTTCTGAGAAAGTATAATGGTATTTTGGCAAATAAGCCACAACAGAAACAGGTATTTTTTGCTGGAGATACATTATAACAGTATCCTGGAATGCACCAGAAATCATAAAAATCCTGGATGATTCTGAGGTTGAAATAAAAAAAAAAACAATATAAAAACAAAAATGCCAAACAGATTTTTGTCATCCATGATTCAGGATAATCCCTGGTAAAGTTAATGATCCAGTACAATTTAGCTTTCCACATTATTCACTGCCGGGAGATGTTAACAGCAGTAGGTACATGTATCAATGCACAAGAAAGTCAAGAATAATATATAATGGGGATAGAATATGTCCTGCTATTACAATACTCAACATAGCAGGCATGTATGTTGGCATTGTTGACACCCCACTCACCCCATCTGTAGGGGGTATTCTCAGCGGTGGAGCTACGTCACAAAGTGTGTTACGTTGCTTGAACACACACCACTGTATCATGTATTTCTACAGGCTCTGTGCGAGCTGCTGTGGAACAACATTGAGAAAACAGCACAACTCAACTTTGAGGTAATCCTGAGAAACCAAATTTATATATGTTTCACATGTAGGGGTAGTCTTGTTACACTGTTCAGGCGAATTTTAACAACAAGCACAATATAGATTTTTGTTTAGAGTTTTTGACCTTTGTTTTCACCAGTGATCAATGCCAGGCTGTGAAAATAAAAAAACAACCTATTTTTTATATGTTTATGAGGTTAGAGGGGCAAGACTCCAAGCAACAACCTTCTCATTACATTACCAGACTACATTACAAAGCATGTATGAAGATGTATAACAACATGTGCATTGATGACAAATATGTCAGGCATGTATTACAGCATAGCATCAACCTCTCCAGACTGACCTAATCATAAGTGAAATTGCTGAGAAAAATATTGCCAACTAAATCAATTTACAGAGTATTCAAATATTGAATTGTAGTTCGATCAGTAGAATGTTATACAAATTTGATTTGTATAATTTGAAATTATGCATTTCAGATTATGAACAATAAGGTGATGAAGGATTTGGGTATAAATGAAATTATACTCTGATAAGACATACTCCAGTGTTTTATTTTTTTGTAGAGAAATAAAATATATTTTGTACTAGATTAAAACATGACCTAGAATGACTGAACAATTCAAGCAGAAAACCCAACAAGGAAGCTTTTGTCTGGCCGTCATTCAACATTTTGTAATAATAGACGTGTAACATATGGTGCACCCTGTTATTAATATTCTAGGGTAGAAATCATATAAAAGCAGAACAGGCTAAGCAGCAGTGATGGAACAGTAAAGTGGCATATTTCTACGATGCAGTCAAGCGTGAACTTTGCATGGTACCTGGGAAATATTCAGACAAAATATTTGATAATTGAATAAATTTGGAACTGTATTGTGAATTATTACATTTCGATGGGATAATTTATTTAATGTGAATTATGAATATCTGTACTTGCGCAATTTCAATCTCATTATTAATCACAAGTATATTATGTTTGCAGATGCATGTAGTAGTGATAATTTTAATGTTATGACAAATCATGATTAGACTGCAAAATAAATACTATAGTCCAAAAATAACAAGCACATGGAAGCACTAGTACTGGCCACACCTTTGAAATCCATGCAAGTCAAGGTGAAAACAATTTAGGAAGACAACTGCTATGAGCTTGAAGGTCTGAATATTGTACAGCACGTTGTTGTGTAAGTTTTAAATGACTTACAGTCAAGCATACATCATACCGAGACTCCCAATGTGATTACATGTAATACCACTTTGCATTTGATTTGATGATTTAATATGAACAACAAGTTAACAATATGATATGAATAATACAAGTCAATTTTTCACTTTAAAATAAACATTTCATGGAAAGACAAAAAATATTTAATTTACTGGCACAGTTGGATATAATAATAATAATA